GGTCTGAAACCATCAACCTTGTAGTTAGCAGTCCAGTGCTTACCTTATAGTGCCACAGGTAATAAAGGGGACAACAGCACTAATGAGGTATGCACACTATGGAATGGTCAGTAATTCAAGATGAAAAAGACAGCATTAGCATTTAATTAAATATGAAGCTCACAAGGATTGAGAAAGAAGGTGGAATGGAAACAAGAATCACAGGAAGAAAGTGGGATGACTGATGTTACATGGAGGAAATTAAACCAAGTATATGATTTGTTGACTGTAAAACTGATGGTCTGCTCAACTCACAATAAAGAGGTCAAGAAAACAAAATAAATTTGCTCACAGAACCTACTTGATAGCACTTAACAATAACAACCCACAGAAAGAAACATTATTTGGTGGTTACCAGATTGTGGAGGGAGAAGAAGGGAAAATCACTAACAAGATACTATATAAATGTTAATCTTGGTAAAGGAAAAGGCAATACACAATATGGGGGAAGTTAGCACATCATGATCAAAGCTAAGGAAGACTCTAAAGACACAGAATAAAGGGTAATCCCAGTAAAAGCTGTAACATATACAATCCAGCAGCAAGAGTAATAACAAACAATAACCTGTGGGTAGATACGTAGGTGGAGTCCTGATGTGGCACTATAGGATAATCACTGGACTGCTTACCACAAGGTTGACAGTCCAAACCCACTAGCTGCTCCTTGGAAACCCTATACAGGGTTGCTATGAGTAGGAACTGACTTGAGGGCACTTAGCAACAACAGATCTATAAGTAAACAATATGCTAAATGAGGAAGGTTGGACAGGAATGCACCTTCATACATTTCCTGGCATAGTGGACCATATGACTGATTTGAAATGATCAACACTAGTCCATTTCAGCTCACTGATACCTAGGATTTTTATCTCGGAAGAAGTATAGTTCATTCAAGACAAAACACCATTCTATGTCATCACATCAGACCACTACAAGAGTTGTGATCTCTGTTTCACAGATTTTCCACCACTGAGTTCTGTCTAATTAAAAGACTTGTGCAGAGTTAAAAACTAGCAGCACCAAATATGATACTGAGTCTTCTGACTCTGAATCCAATACTCCCAAATTCCCTTTAAATTGCATCATATGTACATTCTAGAAATCCAACTATACATGTGCAGCAAAATAAAGAGCTAACAAACAATGTAGATGCAGGAGCTCAGATTCCATCCACCATCTCACCAGTGCCCACAAGCCCTAGATGGAGCTCAGGACAGAGCCCAGCTCTGCTGTCCTTCAGTTGTTCTCTGCCTACCGGCTTCTCTCACTGTGAGCACCCACTATACTGAGTGAGAACTATGTGTTTAAAGACTCTCTCCCTCCATTACATAAAACATATTTTGACGTGTGCAATTTTTTCTCATTGGAATTTTATCACTATATGCATAATCCATTCCACCACTTCTCTGTCAGTTTGTCGCACTGTGGCAGCTTGTGAGTTGCTGTGATTCTGAAAGCTATGCCATCGGTATTTTAAAT